CGTCCTCCACAACTAGACTGAGGAACAAGACGACAGCAACTTGTCTGTTCCCCTTCCCCCAATTCCCCAGCACTGTTCCCATCCCCCAATTCCCCAATAAAAATCTTAAAAAAAAAAAGAAAAAAAAAAAAAGAAAACAAGGGATATGGCCCCAAGCTTCCTAGACAAAGCATACAATTACAAAGTAGAGTATACACAAATCAGGTATGGAGAAAGTAATATTAAATGAGTGACTTCTATAGACCTTGAAAAACAGCCTTACAGTTAAGGCCCAGGAGGGCTTGATCACAAAGTTCAAACCCTACAAATTGTTATATGTGTTTCCAGAATTCTATAATCTATTTTTCTTGCATATTTTTCTGTATTGCTGTAGTTTTAAAATTAACTACTTAACATCCCTTTCTGGATAGGTCAGTGTAACATCAGCAGGACCACTCCAGGACCCTTGTTCAAAGAATGATTTACCAATTTCTGAACCAACTGGCAAGTCATGGGTCCCTTGGATTCATCTGGCGCCACACCTACCCTTTTTAGTTATTAGAAGGCCTACTAACTCCTACTCTTAATGTTATAAGATATAAGTGAAAAAAGCTTCAAAGATTTGTTATATGCATTTGGAAATTACTCTTTCTGGGAAAGAGTGGAGAGATTTATCTTCAAAATTTAAACGTATTCAATTAAAGTGATATGTTTATCACTGTGTCTAGTAAAGCTTAAGATGAAAGGATAATAGTTAACGTTTTTTGAAGATTTATCAAGTGGAACCCTTCAAAAATACTTTAAAAATGTACTAACAATCAATGTCTGAAGTACAGTTTTACTTTCTTCTGCTAATGACTGTTCTTTTAATATCATATCAGAAATCTGAGAAACATGTGTAGACACATTTTCTGGAATAGACGTGAGAGATCCAAGTGCTGTTGTAGTAATGGTGTCTAATGCAGACACACTGGAAGACAGCAGGTTACCTATACCAAAAAAATAAATTAAATTAAAAAGATGTAAACTTTAACATAAACATTTAAACACAGAGCCACTTCAAAGAGGCTGGCAAAATTACATCCTTGTTGTGGAAACTTGTCATAACAAATAAGCTTAACATAATCAGCTCATTACATAAGCAAGGAAATATTTTAAATATAAATTATATTTATTCTATAGTATGCTGTAAGCACTTGATGTATTTGTAGGTATATCAGACCTATCCATAACTATAACTCACAGTAAACAAAGAATTAGAATATTCTAAAATTAATCTCTAAGTAAAAGTAATACACAGTATTATAGTAGGTAAAAGAGGATATAGAAGACAAAGAAGAAATCAATAAAATTTGTAACGGTTGACTCTAGGTGATTTAAAACAATTTTTACATCTCTGCATCTCCCAAATTTTCTATAATGAGGATAATACTTTCATAATAAATAAACTAATACTTATGAGGTTTTTTTGTAAAAGATAACAATGATTATGGTTAAAAATAATAGATACACATATTCTGACAATACAGCAAACATACAAGACATACATTGTCAAAAGAAAAAAAGATACAGAATGTTTATGCACAGAAAATTTCTAGGAGAAACTCAAGAAACTGAACAGTAGTATCTACGGAGAATGAGACATGCAGGGTTAAAGGGACTTTGACTTCTAAAGTTTATGCATTTAGTTATTGTTTAATAAACACAAGTTACTTTATAAAAAAAAACAAAAAAAATCCAACTAAGATTTGTTTTAATTCGAAGGCAGTAAAAGCATTAATCCCTAGTCTGAATGGATACTGTGTGCATTTGAGGGAACTAGTGACTCTGAGTTTTTTATGATATTAAATTATCAGTTTTGAAATTAGTCTCACACTAAACACACAAAGACTAAAATAATTAGAAATACTCGAACTTACCAAACAAAGTCTTGTGAACTTCCAGCATGGTCTTTTGTTTTGAGCTGCCATCCTTAATTAATTCTTTCATATTATTAAACAGACTATTTAGGTTTTTGCCAAAAACATCCTGAGCTTCTGCATTGTGCTGATCAATCGCCTTCTTACGATCCAGTTTGATATGGAGACCAGATACATCTTTTGTAGTTTCTTCAACTGTGTTAAGCAACTATATATGATTTTTAAAAGTAAATGTTAATAAGATAGATATTACAAAAGCCATCTAATGAAAATATTAATATCTGTGCTACATAGGGATTTCTCCTAATGAGAACTAGTAAGAGTTTTATACATTACATCAGAAGAAATTTTAAACTCATGCTAATTTATCCAGGAATGTTTATTTCCCCTCCCTCACCATCTAGGCAAGGGAAACTGATTTTGACAATATTGACACAAAGTTTTTCCTATTATGTTACTATTTCCTCAAAAGTACACCTAATAAAAAATTAAATACTTTCAACATCTTCCATCATTAGAAGGTACTAAATTCTTGATGACTGATGAATTTCAATCATGACCACAGGAAGAAGCACTACAACATCATTATTCTAAATGCCCATAGTTACCAAAGTCACGTTCTATTTCCAGGAATAGTTTTTTCTTAAGTTAGCATATCCAATGAGGGAAATTTATATAAAATAGTAAAATAACATTTTTTAAGTTGACAGAAATGTCATTTGGGGTGAATAAATGGGATTTCACAATTAATGCCAAAGCAAAATCAGTTACTTCTACCCATTCTCTAATTTCTTTAATGCGAGTATAAATCAAATCAAAGGACAAACCCTGCTGGCAGTATCATGAAGTTTCTTCTCAGTGCTTTCCAAAGCTGATGTGACATATTCTTCTTCAACAAGCTGTAATTTGGTTTCTTGTAAATGTTTTTGAGTGGTTTTAAGCTCCTGTGTCTTATTTTGCAGGTCAGATTTACACTGCTCAAGTTCATTTTTATTGTCCATGAATAATTCTGTAACCTAAATATAACACATTAAATTTTTTTTTAAAGAATTAAAAATGCTGAGCTGGCTGGTGAGACACCTGGCTAGTCCATAATATAATATTTGAAGAACCAAATTATTTCCATGCAAAATTGTAACAAGTGTAAGTTACTAGGTAGGTTAGCACCTTTTATATGGCATCTGGCTTCTTCCTGAAAATTAATTAAAAACAAATAACAGATCTAGTGTAATGGTGTTTCTTGTTCAGGATTTTCCAACACTGCCAATGTGAGGGTCAGGTCTTTACATCTTAGTTATTTAACATCTGTTTTCTCCCAATATCGGCATTCTCTCATGTGATAAACACGTTAATGAAAATGTCTCAGCATTCACTATTTAGTTTTAACAGTAAAATCACACAATGGTAATGTTGCATTAATATAAGTGTCTAAATAGACAGCTTCTTCATGATGATTGATGGTTAATAAAATTATGATACAACTTACATTTAGTATAAGAATCAGCAAAAAAAAATTCTTAAAGAAAAATATCAAGTCTCTCACATTCTAAAGTTTTCTTTAAATTAATTTAGTTTTACATAACATTCATTATTGTTTTAAATGCTTACCCTACTTAGCTCCTCCTCAACAGCACCAATTTTTTCAATCAATTCTACAATCTGCTCTTCTTGAACAGTTAGTTTTCCACTCATGGCTCTAAAATAAAGTTTAATATAAGTTTAACTGTATTTTTCCTTAATTCCTATAAAATTCATGCTAATAAAATTGTGGCAGTTACAAATAATTTCTACCATCTACCATTACTGTGATAATGATGCCCAGGTGTCAATAAGCAATGAATACAAATTGCACACACACACACACACACAAAAGTAGTCCTCCTTCCTCTTGTTTTCACAATTGACGGTTTTTCTTGTTATCTCCATTTTGAAACTGAGAATACCTACTTACAATGTAAATATATAAAATTTGAATAGCAACAAAGCTGACAGAGGAATATAACTCACATAAAATACGGGGGGGGGGGAATACAACTTAAGTGTCTGTAATCAAGAATATAGAGCATAAATAAAACACAGAGAATCCAGAAAAGGCTTGGGGCTTGAAAGCATCCAGGTATCACAGGAGGAAGGGATGAAATAAGGGGCTAAAAACCAGAGAACTGAATTAAAGTATGTAGACAGAGCAATTACACCTCTTGCCACCTGCATACGAGTACATACCTAAATACACACCTCAAAACACACGGCACTGGGCCGGCAGAGTGGCATGTTGGTTAAGAACTGGCTTGGGACGCCAGAGGGCCCCAGTTCGGATCCCACATATGAGGGCCAGTGACATTGCCNCAAGTTGGACCAGTGAAGCAATGTCCTCCACAACTAGACTGAAGAACAAAACGACAGCAACTTGTCTGTTCCCCTTCCCTCAATTCCCCAGCACTGTTCCCATCCCCCCAGTTCCCCAATTAAAAAAAAAAAATCTTAAAAAAAAAAAAATTAAGTTTTTGTTTTGAATACATACAAAATAGAAGTTAGAAAACAATAGGCAAGGTCCCTTTTTCTCTCCGGCCCTTAGAACTCCAGTCCCACTTCCACCTGAAAGATGACTGCTACCATTTTAAACACTTTCAGACATGTTACGCATATTTAGGTATATATGCATGCATATACAGTAAAACTTTGGATTGCGAGTAACTTGGTTTGCAAGTGTTCTGCAAGACAAGCAAACATTTCTAATACATTTTAGTGTGGTAAATGATTGATGTCTTGCAATACAAGTAGTTTGTTTCCAGGACAAATTATGCTCGCAAACCAAGGTATTACTGTATATATTTATATACATATCTTCCTCACCCGCTATGTGATAGCATGCTATATATGTTACTTTGTAAACTTAAACATTTATCTTGATCATCCTCATTTTTTCTTAGCCATGATTCTGCTGACTACATCAATGATAGAGAGCATCCTATCTCCTCCCTCCTCCAAATTCCTTCTAAGAACCCATGGGTTTTGCATGTAGACAAATCTCCAGGTGTGGCCACAGATAGTTTTTTTCTTAAACAATTATTTGATTTTGAGATAATAACAAATTTTTTTACCTTATTAGCCACTGTCAATGAAGTCTTGAAAATATGCTTTAGTTGATTATTGATTTTCACTATAGACACCACAGTGGGGGATAAAATTGTTTCCAGTGAACTTAAAAGGTCGGTCTTAAGTACATTCTGGTTTTAAAAATAAACAAATATTTAAAAATATTATTTTCACTTCCATAAACCTGGCTGGTTAAATATCCTAAATATAATACTTTGTTAACTAAACACGTGCATATTACAATTCTAAGTATCCATTCGCTACTCTTTAGAGCCTATTTGTTACTAGAGTTAATATTCTGCATAAATCACTTAACCCTGCCTCTAGTAATCAAGAAAATGGTCACTTAATGTAAAATGGATTCTTAACAGTTTAATGCAACAAAAGTCAGAAGAATTCAGAAGAGGGAAAAATTATAGCCATTTAATAAAATTTCAGTACTGCAAACAGAAAATTAAAAAAAATCTATATGTACATTTTAACAAAATAAATTTCAAACAAGTTTAGGTTACTAGTCAAAAAGGCTGAGATCAAATAGCCTTCAAAGTAAGCTTTAGCCTGGAGGTATTTAACTCTGAAGACCTTGTGACTTACATCCTATTGTATCAGAAGAGTTTGTCAAAGTTCTCATCAAGGTTTATGGGAAGTTGAAAATGTACTGTAGATTGAGAATTTTTATAAAAAGGAGAAAAATTCTGACCTAAGCTTTCACTATGGCAGGGGTGAGGAACTATGACAGAAATTATTAGTAAACACTTAAAAGAAAAGGCTACCGGTATTCATTTGAAAAGGAAGGGCTATCATACAATTTGAACTCATTCTGTGGGAGCAGTGGTCATCTCTTTGACTCAAGTAATGCTTATAACTTGGTAGGAAGACATCAATAAACACAGATTATCATTTAGAGAATGAATCAATTTCCAAAAAGTTAGTATGGAAAAGGAATGTTCTAACTTTGTCAAATCTGGGAGATTGAAGAAATCTATCAAATAGTGTCATACAAGCACTGAATTTAGGCAGAGTGTCAGTTGACATTTGTAGTATCTACTTGGAAAATGTTCAACAAATACTGTTAAACTAAAAAAAGTAGGCAAAGAGCCTGCACAAAGAAAACAAGGTAAGGGAGGGCCGGCCGAGTGGCGCGATGGTTAAGAGTTGGTTTGGGATGCCAGAGG